ATCAATATAAAAGAGTTTTCAGAATCTCTGTCAGTAATTTGTCTTTTGAATACTTGATCACAACTCTTTACCCTTTTACTTTTCCATGACTGGCTCGAGCCTGGCTTCATTATTGCCAGTGGTGTATAGAAAGTGTGTATGTATACAAAAAGTGCACATATACATGTATAGATACATACACTCACACGCACACTATATGAATAACGTATTGCACCGTCTGGAAATAATCGTGGAATGCCAAACCGCATAACAGCTTCTGGTCTTGTTGAGTCACTGCATCTGCCGCTGTACCCAGAGAACTTGAAAGAACAGTAATGCTTATCGTGAACGGTCTGGGATTCAACAGGCAGCAGCACCACCTCTGCTGATGCCAAGGGATGCCACTGCCCTATGCCAAATACTTTGCACATATAGCAACTTAGTAGCATAAACAATATGATTAGCCCCATTTTACAGATGAGGGAACTAAGTCATACAGAGGTTAAACAATTTTCCAAGGACACACAGCTGGCAAGTGGTAGAGCCAGAATTCACCCCCCACCGCCCGTTCCAGAGTCTGCACTCATAAACACTGTGCCTCCCTGTCTTCTGGGATTGTTTTAATTGTGCCAAAAAAACTAGCAGGGTCCACATGTAACAAAAACCAGAAACTCCATGTTTGTGGAAGAAACTCCCAGCCAGGGAGCCCCACTCATTCACTTAGTGAGGCATATGAGAACGTGAGTGCGTGGAGAGGTAAAATTTTTAAAAAAATTTTTTACAAGATTTTATTTATTTATTTTTAGAGAGAGGGGAAGGGAGGAAGAAAGAGAGGGAGAGAAACATCAATGTGTTGTTGCCTCTCACGCACCTCCAACTAGGGACCTGGCCCACAACTCACACACATGCCCTGACTGGGAGAGAGGTAAAATTTTTAGTGCGAAGGAGATCTTTCAATTACTTAGGAGAATAGGCATTAAAGGGGCTAAGAAATATTGGTGTATGGAATAATTTTATGAAGTATAAGCATTTTCAGTATTTTTTCTCTTTTTAAAAGGGGTGCCCTGGCTGGCATGGCTGAGTGGATTGAGTGTTGGCCTATGAACTGAAAGGTCACCAGTTTGATTCCCAGTCAGGGCACATGCCTGGGTTGTGGGCCAGGTCCCCAGTAGAGGGTGTGCCAGAGGCAACCAAGTAATGTATCTCTCCCTCTCTTTCTCCCTTCTTCCCTGTCTAAAAATACATAAAATCTTTTTTTAAAAAAAATGGTGACATTTTTAAAATTTGTCTCTTTGTTTGTTAGCTCTTTCCTAGCAAGGGAAATTTTCATTCAGAGAGGGGACTTTACAGTAGCAAGCCAAAACTTTAAGTTTCTGGACTTGAGCATCTCCTTCCCCATTGAAATATCTGATAGGCCAAAACACCTATATTCCTGCTTTATGAGAATATAGTACTATATTTTGGGGGAATGGGAGGGTGACTAAGAATGGGAAAGTTATTTTCCGTGTAAATAAAACTATATTTTGGTTACCTTTCTTTTTTTTAATCAAAATTGTGTGATTGCCCTGCAGGTGTGGGTCAGTTGGTTGGGTGTCATCTCACAAAGCAAAAAAGGTGGTTGTATTGATTCCTGGTCAGGGCACATGCCTGGGTTGTGGGTTCGGTCCCTTGTTGGGGTGCATACGAGAGGCAACCAATCAATGTTTCTGTCCCTTTCTTTCTCCCTCCCTGCCCTCTCTTAAAAAAAAAAAGAAAGAAAGAAAAGAAAGCAAAACAGAAAAACCCTGTGATTTTTTAAAATTAATTTTTAATATATTTTGTCATATTGTCTACTGATACTTAAATTTGGTTGTTAAAATACCCCCAGTTTGATATTTAAATGCTTAAATAAAAGAAAGGCATCTGATTCATCAGTAACTTCCCTTCTGACTTTTTTTGAAATTGTGTACAAATGATAGTGTTACATGAGTAATTGTTTGAAAAGCCTTTGAAGGAGTCTGAGCATGTCACTTTGGTCCTTTGGAACCCTTCATAATACTTGACTGGTCTGGAACCGTTCTCCTGATAAACTGTAGAAGTTGTTTGGTGTTTTTATGGTGGCATGCACAGTCCATCATTATATTTCTGAAATCCCTACTAAGTAACTTGCACACGTTTTGCCTAAGCTCGGAAGAGCAGCGTGCACTCCTTTGTAGAATGGCAGGTGGTAGGAACTGGCTGAAGATAGGAAATCATCTGAGGCCTTTCAGAAATGACAAGGCAGCTTCTCAGAGGAGATATGGAAGGTTTATGTCTACTTTCATGCCCTCCCAAAACCCCAGTGAAAGAACACGAAGGAGGTCTTTAAAGGTGTAGACCGTCAACGGTGGGGAGAACAGCAGGAAAGACAACAGCAACAAAGCTTGGGCAGTTGGAGACACAGCCCTAAGCCAGCTGAGGGGAAAGCCGAGAGCCAGCCTTATGTATACCACAGAACCTCCACCAGGCTGAAAACTGGCAGCATCTTCACCTGTGGACATGAGATTGAAAGGATTGCTAAACTTGGGGAGATTGGTTAAATCTGTTTAGGGAGAGCTTAGGTCCCCAGAACCTTTTCCCTGCACCCCACAGGGCTTTCCCTGCCCTGGCCAGCACTGGTTTACTCTGGAAAGGGAAATGCAGCTGGCTCTCTGGACTCCCCCGCACGAGGCAGGGGTCCCGTCATGAAAATAGCATGGTTAAGTGATGTCAGTGTGCCGAGTGCTGAGACTCCCAGCCCTGGTCCCTCCCTGTGCTGCCAGAGAGCTAGCAGTCAGGCCTTCATTAGCCCGTCTTTCTCAGGGGAAATGGGGAAGCCAACTTAAGTAGCCCAGCCAGATGACCCTCAGTGAAGTTCACAGTCAACCAACTTCACTGACATGCTGAGAGTATTCAGTCAGCTGGTAAGGCCCACATCTGTAAGTGTGAGTGAACTACGGAGAATTACCAGGTAACCAGTAAGCTGATCAGCCTCTACTGTGAAAGGCAGAGACCGAAGCAAATGAAAGACAGTGACTTGGAAGAACAGGTAAAGAACAGCTTCCAAAAGTCCTAATAGTACACGGGAGTTCATTAACCCTCTTCCCGACTTTTGTGCACATTGTAAACTTCCCATTGTAATTCTCCTAGAGATATGATATTGCAACAATAAAATAATAATAGCATACTATAAAAAATAACACTCAGCACATAGAAATTAAAAATGTGATAAAAGATGTAAAAACTCAGTAAGAAGTTTAGAAGTTAAATAATAAATCTCCCAGAAAGAGGACAAAAACACAGAGATGGAAGAAAATTAATTCCAACCTGAATTCTTTATCTAGTCAAATTGTCAACCAGATGTGCAGACAGAAAGAAGACATTGGCAGAAATGCAAGGTTTCGAGGACCCTGTGTTGAGAAAGTATTGAGGATGAGCCCCATGAGAATGTGGAGTGCAGACCGAGAGAGGAAGGTATAAGGTGTAAGAAACAGTAAGTCCACTTTAGGAGTGCAGAGAATCACCGGGGCGATGGTGCAGGGCCTTCGCAAGACGAAAACTCCAGGCAGCAAACCCGGAATCTGGGTGACATCCTTCAGGAAGGTGCAGTTGAAGGAATGTCTGATGTACACGAATGCCTTGGGGGGAGTTCAAGACCAGAGGTCAGTCTGGCTTCTACCTGTTTTTTAAATAAAATTTTATTTAAACACACCTACGTGTTTACACATTGTCGCTGGCTGTTTTCACACTACAAGCAGAGTTGAATTGTTGCGACAGAGATCACGTGGCCTGCAAAGTCTAAATATCATTGATTTATCTGGCCCTTTAAGAAAAAGTTTGCAGACTAGATCTGAAAAATTGATTCTGGACAATTGGCCAAGAGCATGTGGCCGAGTTAGTTACGTGTACATAGAAAACTACAACTGCTCGATTCAGGGAGAACAAAAAATTGGTCAGGAATGGAAAAGTAGCCATGATTTCCTACATGGCTTAGCTTTGAATATATTTACATGATTATAATAATGTAAATGTCTCATATTGTGCTAAAGTTACCGTACAGTTGCATGGGAAGCTGGGAAGGTTGTGCCTGTGTGGAAGGAATGGGAAGAAGAAGGAGCTGAAGCTTTGCATTCCATAGTGGGAACTCAGCAGATGAGCCCCAAAACTGAAGGAGGAGCATGGTGATAAATGTCAAGGTCATCAGCTAAAAGAAGTAAAAATCAGTTCCTCCAAGGAGGGGGAAACGAAGGGCGGAGGGACAGGGCCTGCTGCTTTTTTACACGAACCGTTTGTAGACTTAACTGTGCACATTTATACCTTTGATAAAGGGGGAAAAAATTAAAATGCTCTTCCCCAAAACTTGGAAAACAAACAAGAAAAGAAACTCTTTCTTGGTCAGCAAACGTGTAGTATTACTGATGCAGTCCCCTCTGTCCGCACCTCCGGGCACGTTCATCACCAGCCATCCCGTCTGCTTCAGAGCTGTGCCCCAGCAGCCACGCCCAGTCAGGCAGGTTGAGGTTGCTCTGGAAACCGACATCTCTGATATACTTGGTGAAAAGGCACAAAGCTAGGGCCTTCTGTCTAGTTCAGACATTCCCAGCCGAAGAACCTTGCGAAGCTGCATGTTTCGGCCTAGCACTCGACTGTTCCCGTGTCCTAAAGTACTTCTTTTAAAATTTCATCTGTTCTGAATACCACTTCTGCTTCACACACAGGCATGGGAACACTGTTGTTTCTCCACGATTATTTGTAGATAGAGGATAACTAATAATATGTTTTTACCATCTAGTACTAGACCTAACATAATAGCCTAATAAATGTTTTAATGAATGAATAAATGAACTCTGTTGTGTAATCAACATTTTTTTAATCAAGAGAACTTGAGAAGCTGAAGAAACCCACCCTTGCAAAAGAGGATTCTGTAACTTCCTTCAGCTTTTCCATCGCCAAAACTAAACTGTGGCTCTGAATGATTTTGACTTCTGAACTGAAGTAATTCTTGCCCTTATTTTCTTAACTAGGATCTTTCCAATTAAAGATGTACCCCTGGAGACTGATGACCTTTCTGATTGGCTCTACCAACGTTTTGTTGAAAAGGAAGACCTCTTATCGCATTTTTATAAAACAGGTACACAGCATCCTATTACATACCTTCCTGAAGTTACCAGTAGTTCCAAAGATGCCCTTTAGGGGAGAAAACCATTTTTTTGATTCTTCAGATACCCTAAAGGAATCAAAGTGTTTTTATATTTAAGAATTCAGCTTAGAATGTTCATAAGACAAATTTATGTTAAATGTATTAAGGCACTTGCTCCATCAGCCAGGACGCAAAGGTCAGGTGATACGTCAAATGTTGCACAAATGGATCTCATTCAAGAGAGTGTGTGCAGTCTGCAGAAGACTAATTGTGTGTATATAGTTATACAAGCTGTTTCATGCAGTAGTAAATGACATTTGTTTCTTGGCGTTGTACTTGACTGTTTAAATAATACCGTCATCTAGCAGTCACTTGAGATCACTTGTAACTGCTTTTTTATATGCTTATTCTTTTTTATAGGGATAAAGTTCCGTTTTCTCCGTGAGAAAAGAAAGTTTATTTACCCTAATGCCCTTTTCTGTACTTTAGTCTCCATGTCCTATGAAAACTACAGCGCAGTGAAAAAGACCTAGTGGGGAAGAAGGAGACAGGGGGGAAGAAAGGAAGTGACGAGAGAAGGAAATTAGCACTGGGAGAGCCCCAGGCACACCACAGTGCTTTCACAAGTAGCCACCTATAGGCCGATTTTCTGGAAGCTGCCACAGGGGGAGGAAACAAGGTGAGGAGAACGTTGTCCCAAGTCCGAGGACAGCCGAGGGATTTTTGATGAACAGAAGGCACTATTTTCTTCCCACTTGGACGTTTTTTGGTATAGAATTAAAGTTCTTGTTAAATCAGACTGTCAAAGGCTTGATGTTGAGCTCAGGCTAATACCAATCATTGTCTGTAGTGCTTTTGACTTTGTGTGTAGGGCTGTTTCCCTCTGCCTTCCTGATCTGAACTTTCTGACTCTGGGGCTGTGGAGCAGTGCCTCTGAATACGATGGGAGCTGGCCACTGTGTCTGTCTTTAGAATCCCTAATAAGACCAGTACCATGGCCCCCTCTCCCTGTTTGCCATCCTTGTTTACTCTCAGATTTTCCTTAAAGGTGAGACAGGATGGGTGTGTGAGAAGGCATGAGGCAATTAAAAGGCCAACAGGGTCTGTCTCTTTATGATATTTGGCCTAAATTGTAGCAACAATAATGGAAGCCTCTTTTTTAAAAGCCTATTTGCAAAATAGACCTTAAAACTTGAAAGTGTTCTCTGTACTGTGCTTGGGAGAAGCAAATCCCCTCATGAATCAGCTTAGGCTGGGGGATTATCAGCAAGGACAAAGACTATTTGAAATGCTGGAGAGTGTTATCAAGATGACCTTAGGTAATATTGTCCTGGAATGGCCCAGCTTTCCTTTGCAGAAACCTGTTTACTTTGTGTTTCTCCTCCTCATTATTAAGATATAGTTCATAAATCTATTGCCTTTTGAAAATATCAGTGATTTACAACCACTTTTTTAAAAAAATTTTTTAAAGTTTTATTTATTTTTAGAAAGGAAGAGAGGGGGAAAGAGAGAGAAACAAACGTCTATGTGCAGGAGAAACACTGTTCAGTTGCCTCTCACAGGGCCCCCAACCAGGGACCTGGCCCGCAGCCCAAGCACGTGCCCTGACTGGGAATCAACACGGCCCTTCAGTTCGCAGGCCAATGCTCAGTCCACTGAGCCACACCAGCCAGGACACAACCACTTTTTTGTGGCAAAGACATTTAACTTGTAAATAGAGGACTCAGTATAAATTAATGCTATTGGGAAAGTACCCGATATCGATTTCACACATCTTGTGTCCTGGTCACTGAGGAGCTCCGTAGGTACAGTGGGAGACGAGGAGCAGAGTGCCTGCCCTCCTGCAGTTTCCGTTCCAGCAGCGGACTGTCTGTAGGGGACAGTGGCAAACACCAGGCCCGTGGCCGAATCTGGCCCTCCACCTTGTCTTATCCGGCCCAGCACCTTGTTTCTACCGGGCGGCAGCGCCAAGCCCCTTGCCCCTGTAGTTAAGGAGTAGTTACATTTATGCAGCCCTAAAATTACATTCGGCCCTTTGAAGGCAACGGCGAGGCTGATGTGGCCCCCCATGAAAATGAGTTTGACAGCCCTGCCGTAGAGAAGAGATAGATCGAGATCATTACAGACTGTGGAAAGTGCCAAGACAGAAGTAAACATGGAGACGATAGCAACTGGGGGTCGGCGTGGGGAACAGGTGGTATTTCCTCTGATACTGGAAGAATGCAGGTGCCACACCATTCACTGGGACGAGGAGGAGACTTCCAGGCCGAGAGAATAAAGCAAAGGCTCAGAGGCAGGAGAGGGCTCAGCAGGCTGAAAGTTCTGTTTCAAATGAGATCTCTGTTCAAGAGCAATGGGATGTCACAGAAGATGCTTTAACAAACAATAATTCTAGTTAAACCAATATTCAGCTTTTATTCCAGGAGACCTCCCACTACAGTAAAGCAAAGTAATATTTCCATCTTGTTTTTTTAGGGGCTTTTCCACCTCCCAAGGGCCACAAGGAAGCCGACTCCAGGGAGGTGACGCTCAGCAACGTGTGGATCTTTCTCATACAGTCGTTTGCGTTTTTGTCAGGCTACATGTGGTACAGCGTCCTCCGGTATTTGTACCACTGCCTGTTCTAGGACTTGGACTTGTCACAGTCACCATAGGAATCCAGACTTCCACCAGTGTGTATTATTTTACATGTGCAAATCAGAATAGTAAACAAAAGCAAAGGAAATTCCATGGATGGATTAATATTTATCCCCTTTGGGATATTTTAAAACTCTGCAAAAAGGAGGATCAGTACTATTAAGACCTGCTAGTATGTTGTAAGGACTTTTCATGTTTTAAAAACATACACTCTACCACACATTTAAGCGAACATCACCTTTGGAGAAGAGGAGACCATACGATCACCCTAGAAGACTGAGAGGAATTCTGCTGCCAGCAGATACTCGGCCATCCAGTTCGAGCTCAGCGAGCCGCGCCGTCCTCCTAGCCGGTGTCTCCGTTAGGGCAGAACTGTGGAGCGGCCTCACCCCCCAACGTCTGCTGAGTCACTGGCAATCTCGAGGGGCGCTGGCTGGCACCTTCTGAAGACCTGCCGCCCTGTCGTTTGCCGTGACACTCCAGTCCTCGCCAGCTGAGTGAGGAGCAGGGTCAGGCATGCTGCGGGGCGGGGAGCGGTGTCCGGCGGACACATCCCTGTGCTGGAATGTGCTCTTTCAAAAGGCTCGCTCAGTCCGTGTTTACATGCGCTAGTGCTTTCCCGTGTGGGGGGTGGGCACTCGGTTTCTCCTTTTGTACAGAAGGTATATTGTGGATTGACCATTGTTTCCTACAGAGTGCACTTTTATCAGATGCATCTATAGCACGGGACTGGGATACAGCCTGAACACAGATGTAAGCGTAATCAGGGAGTGGGCTTCTCGAGAGGCTGTCTCGTCCACGTGTCTTACCCGTGCGCGCGCGCTCGCCCGTGCTAGCCCGCGCCGGGTGCCCCGCCCCGCTGAGACTTCTGTCTGGCTCAGAGGCTTTGTTTGATTTTAATTTTGGTATATTAGCACCACCTGCATTTGGGGATGGTTGAAACAAATGAATGCAAAATATTTAAATGATCAATATATGGTGAAATAGGCTAATTTATTAGAAAAATAAGAGCTACAGCCAGGCTTACACTGGTGACAGGTTGCACATGGCACCCCCAGAACCTGTCACATCGAGGAGCTGCCTGTGTCGGGGTGGTGTGACCAGGAAAGAGACCAGCACACGAGGCTTCGCAGTCTCTTCCAGTCGCTTTTGGAGAAGATAAAGTGAAGTATCTATTCTAGAAGGCATTTTTTTTTATTTGTCACTATGTTCATACAGTTTACCTCGCAGTAGAACCAAACTCTTCTCAAAAAGTGCGGGCACCTCCTCGTGCGTCGCCCGCACTCCCTGCGCGGAGGCAGAGCATGTTCTTGGTCCAGGGTCCTAAGACTCTCAGATCCTGGTGCGTCGGTGGCAGTTTTCTGTGACGTGAGCAGCGTAGGGTCCACCTGTGTCGCTAATCATACAAACGACAGTTCTGAGAAGGAGGCTGAAAAGTAAAAGGCTGACGTCTTTTGTTTTTAAATAAACCAAAAAAAAAAACCCCTGAGAAGATAGAAGGTCCTTCTCAATCGTGTGGGAAAGGCAGAGCCACACCAAATTCAGGCCCACCGCGGCGTCAGCTCCGGGTGCGTCCGCCGCACGTGTGCGGAGAGCGGCGCGTCCGCGGGAATACCTCAGTGACCACAGGGCTGCTGCTAGGAGGCGGGAGCCCGCGTCCCTGTGTGCGGCTCGGGAACCGGTGTCGCAGGTGCCACGCCTTTGCAAGCTGAGCATTTCATTATGTGTTTTGCAGTGATGGTGAGTAGGTGAAACCAACCCCAACTTAGAAGTGCAGATAATGTTAGGAAGCCAGACAGAAGCTTAAACACACTTCTGTTGGAGGTCCAGCAAACGCTGCTGGACTCCAGGATGAAGTGGAGTTGTTCATTTGAGGGGTTAGTCAGCCATCTGGGGGATGGTTGCTCGCTGTCGAGCGTGGCAGACACAGTCCTAAGCTGTCAGACCTTCTCGTTGCTAAAGCCAGCCACAGGCAGAGCGGCCAGTCCTCCCGTCAGAAGCGGCGACAAGTGCGCCTGCGCACACAGGCGGGGCGGGGCCCCTTGGCCGTCACTGTGCTCCAAAGGAACGTGATGTCGTTTAACACACTGTACACATTCAACAGGCTGTTCTTGAAGATGCTTTACTCTTCAAGTGCAGCCATTTCAGCAGCCTCTAGAGTGACAAATACCAGTAGATGTGTGCGTCAGTTTTTGCACATAGATCTGTGAGTTGTAAATAGATGTGTTTGGTCTGCCCTGCCCGCTTTGATGCTTTACCGACATGTTCCCCCTTCTGTTTGAGAGCATTGCCAGCGCTTTCCTCCCTAGAAACGGGGGTCCTCTGGCTTGTACTGGGGAATGTGAAGAGAGAATCAGTGTTCTCACGCGGCCGCCAGGGAAGCAGCAGGATGCCACTGTACGGAGCTGAATAAAAACTCCTGCCCTGTCCTTCTTTGCAACAAGAGATGGGAGGAGTCTAGGGAATATCCATTTGGTCAAGTGGAAAGAAAATAGCACTGTGCCAGTTTTATACCCGTAGCTTTTAGAATCTCCGCTGTCCTGCCTGGAGTCCCACAGCAGAGGGGTTTGCAAACTCCCCGCGGGCTCCTGGAGCCCAGTGGCGGACATCTGCCCGGCCTCAGGCGGGGGCAGGGACTACGGAAGTGACCATCCCAAAGGTCACACTTGACTTCAGGAATTACCACTGGTGTTCAAATGTATGACATTGTAGAGAAGCCTGTAGGCCAGCGGGAGGTAAGTAGAAATTGCAGAGTGGGAATGATGTCTTGGGTAGTCATGCCAACTAGTTGAGAATCTAAATCATAGAGGTTTTCTTTTTTTTAAAGATAACTCTGATTTCAGATCTGTCTTGTTATCTGTCATATTTTAAAATTACAACCAACCCTTAATTTTCTACAGTAAAGGAACTAGAGATTACTGAGTAATTATTCCAGTAATAAGTCATATTATCTAAATATGAAGCCAAAAATCGAAATATGTTCAGGAGTTTGAATATTTATTCTCATCACACTTTTTTTTCTTCCTGGATGCTTACTAACTTAAAAAAGTGATTTGAGTTGTTTATTAGTTTCTATTGCTTTTTTTTTCTTTGAATGAATAGTGGAAAGATTTGGAAAGACAGCTTCAGGAAGAAGAAACACAAAAACCTAAATAATGCATAGTCTTAAAAAGGAATTCCTAATAATCAAGAGTTGGCAGTATTGCAGTTCTCAAGCGTTTTTATGAAAACAAAACATTAAATCACCAAATGTAAACCTCAGAACGTCACTCGAGTGCTCATGTTGTGCAGGTCAGTGTTAAGAATGCCTCTTCATTCTTTGCTCACGTTCCTCTCACTTCTAGTGAATTCGTCTTAGTGATGTTTTCTGACAATCACTTCCCTAAAGACTCCTGAACTAGTGGGACCTGGTTATAATCATAGAACGTAGCCTTTAATCATGGATATTTTTATTGGATTCCTTTTGTATTTAAGAAAATTTTATTTGCACTACTGCACGGGAAGAAGAGTTAGTTATCTTATCCATGACACAGGACTCACTCCAGAGTTACCAATACTGGCAGAGCAGCTCTGGTCCACAAAGGACGCATGAGCAAGGCTAGTCTCATTTGTTGCCACGTAGGGCTGTGAGCCAAGCTTCTGGTGACAGGAACAGCAAAGTCAGAAGCAGCACGGGGCAGCAGGAATCCTGGCTCACTGTATGAGGGGAAATAAACTAACGTGTTTGGGACCAAAACCACCTGAGTCGGACATTTCTGATCACGGGGAGCCGGCATTCTCTGGAGCAGTCTCTGGACGGTGCTTCGTGGCGCTCCTCTCACATCCATCCCCCGCACGTACGAACTGGACCCTGGGCGCGAACCTCGGGTGCAAACCTTGGGTGCGGACCTGTCGGGGAAGCGTGGCTGTGGCCAATGGAAGATAAAAGGTGTTTTTCTGCAAAATTTCCATTGGAGGATTTTTACATTTAATATTTTTTTAAAACAGTTTAAAGAGCAAAAAAAAAAATAAATTAAGTGTATTCTAGTTGCAGAATATGCACACATATTTTGAATGGCTTTATTTTTATTGTGTAAAACTGTTGAACACACACACGTCCGTGATGCACATATTCTTTACACGTGAGGAGTCTGTGCATTTCACAGGGACTTCTGTTCTGACTGGGTAATGAAACAGTTACACATCGGACTGCCGTGGTTGTGTTAAGTGCTCTCTTTTTCTTTACAGTTATCACGAAGTTGTATTTATTTTATACAGGTGGATTTCTGTTTCCCTGATGCCATAATGTTTACTTCAGCTCGATGGCCTGTCTCACTCTGTGTCTCTGCATGTTGTGACGTATGATGAGAATGAGTGTAAGGGCTGTGGCAACTGTACCTTTTGTGAAGGGCTGGTCACACGTGGATCTGGTTTGTGAATGCATCGGGGTTATTTCAGTAACCAGATTACCTTTTCAGAGATTGAGATGTGAACACCAAAAGAAGCATTTTCTCAACAAAAAAAAAATTAATAGCTGGTTCTATTTTTTTTACCCTAGAAAAAATAAAGTTGATTTTTTTCAAGTAAAGTGCTTTTAATTCTTAGTGGGGGTGGGTGTTTGTATTTCGTTGGAGCCGTCTGACATGAACACTGTAGATGTACATGCATGTAGAATATGCCGTGGCAGTCGGATGCTGAGGGCAGACTGGAAAACCAAATGAAAATCGTTCTTCTTCCTTTGGTTTTAAACTCTCTCCCCCTCCCCCTTCCCTGTTCTTCCCATCTGGTGGTATACTGGTAAATGTTTCACAATCTGTTCTTCTGGGGGAAAAAAATTGTATACAAGTGTACATGTCATAAATTTTGATGATAGCGAGGATTTTATAACACAATGAACAGATAATAGTAAAACGTACTTTATTGTAAATTCCACATAGCCAATTAATTCTCCCAGGGTGCTACAATTGATTTTTGCTGAACTCTTTGGCCAACTTATGAATGTTTTCCAACCATGATTTGAAAAATGGAACTATATCCTAATCCACTCATTTCTCACATTTGTCATTCAGTCTAATATGTGATCTACTGTTAAGCTATTTCTTAGCCTTGTACAAATTATACTCTTCTAAGTGAACCAGTTTTAGCTTCAGCACCAATGGGAAGCATATATAATTTAATCTTAATAGCAGCCATTTAACAACTACCGGCAAAACTCTAAAACTTAAACAGTCGGCTTTCTTGCTGGAGCTGGTAGGAGATGTCTTCGGCACACCACTGCCCAGTTCTGTGTTACTGGTTTTGTTCTGTTTTGCTTCTTAAGCTGTTAGTGTTGAATAAACTTCTCACAGTTCATTTACTCACTGCTCTTGGGAAATTCCTATCTGTGACCTGGCAAAGGGGCTTTGAAGGGTAGGAAAGCGTTAACATCAGTTCTGCAGAGCGGGCTCTGGATCTTTGAAGAACGGGACAAAGAGCACCTTTTCCCGAACTGCATGTAAAGTTTGCGTATCTTAAAAGTTGGTTCTGCGCTTTCATTTTTCAAAGTAAACTGTGATACAGGCATCTCTCAGATTTTGTTTTGAGCATTTAAAATGCATTTTGTTTCTGCATCTGTAGACTATATTCCATCCCACTGAAGATTTTTAAATGTATGAAAACATCGTGCACAGTCTACAGAATGAGTTCCGTAGTTACAGTTCAGTCTACCTCTTCTCTTTCCCATCTGGGTTTCGGCCGCTGGTCTGGTGAAGCTGTCATTTCTTCCCCTAGAAGTGGATTCTGTGGAGGACGAAGGATAAACAGGGCGGAGGCCCGCGAGCTCGTTTGAATCAGAGATCTATTGCTGACCAGCCCTATTCCTCATGAGTTTGGGGTAGGGGGAAAGCCATTGTTTTTAATTTTCACTTAATACGAAAGTGTCTGTTTTAAAAATGTTTCTTCCTGCTGGAAAAAAAATGTATTTTTAAAAGGGAAAATATTTCTCTTTTGGCTATAAGAAAAAGTCAGCTGTATGAGCAGGTGTGACCATATCATAACATGCTGATATGATATAAATCAATAAATTTTTACCTCTCAGGACTTGGACAAGCTTGTTCTTAACTCTTAGAGGCTTGAGAAACATGAACCAAGCATCAATAATCCGGATAACGAGGGGCACACGGGAGGAGGGTTGACCAACCACTGGAAATGAGGCAGGCTTTTTTCATAATCAGAAAATACTCTGAATTGGCTATGATTAAACCCATTTTTACAGAGGAAGAAGTTGGAGTGATGGCCGTTTTGTTGTCGTTTTGTTGTCGTTGCTGGAAAGCATAAGCGTCTCGCAGAGCTCATTCCTGAGTCCGTCCCTGGAGAGTTTCCACTGCCTCTCCTTGGAATGCTGCCCACCTTTTAAGGGTGACTCTGGTCACGGTGTAGAGTTGTCTTTCCTTACCTTAGGCGAGAGAGCACACGGGCCGCCCATTTGACCACCACGTCTTCATCGCTGCATCTTCATTCCTTGGTTTTATTTTTGATGAAAAAACTGCCTGCAAAAGGGCATGCCCTGTGTTTTACCAGTTAACTTACACTGACTCAGGACCAGCTGATGCACAGCTGTGGGAAAGGAGGTACCTAGCAGCGGAGAAATGAGAGGAGCTTGGGGTCCTAGGAAGAGGAGCCCAGGAGCCCTGGAAGACCAGGGAACCCCCGAAGGCCAGGGAACTCCGAAGTCCGCAAGTCCGCAAACAGGCAGACACCCTGACACGGGAGGCCCGGGGAAGTGTTCAGATGCGGAAGTCTTACGGAAATCACCTTCCGTGGGAACTCCGTCCCGGGACTGCCATCCGCCCCTGAGGGCTCTCCTGGAGGGGCTTCCACCTGCCCTTTCAGATCCTCTGCCCTCTTGGCAGAAGGGCATGCCTCTCAGCCATGCAGCATCTCCAGGATGCCAAACAAAGGGACACTTCAAAATACTGGTGACAAGGAGCCCCTTAATCAGGGCATCTGGAGCCCACAACAGGGCTTTCTATCTCTTCCTGACGTGCACGTTTCCACAAGAGCAGAGGGTGGCACTGGAAACGCGGCATCTGGGCTGCAGTGGGAGCGCTGAACTCTGCTGTACTCCGTGTGGGACAGCGCAGGCAGTGGCCGTTCGGGGCTCCCGGGAAGCACCGAAGTAGAGGCAACCAAGACTTCTCTTGGCTCAGACTCAGGCCTGGCACAGTGTCACTTCAGTTACAGTGAGTCTCGGGCACAGTCCAGGCTCAGTGTGGGAGGGCGCCTGGAAGGGTGTGAGTACTGCAAGGCAGGGCTCACTGGGAGCCATCTGTGAAGACCAGCTATCACGGTAAAAAACAACAACAAAAAATCCCTCAGCTGTTTGAATAATTAAAGAATGCTAGGCGGGCCCAGAAGAGACCTTGCACTTGGATGGGTTTGCCCATAAGGTCAGTAGTTGAAAGTTGGTTTTAAATCTTCACCCAAGGATATGTTCATTGATTTGAAAGAGAGAAACATTGGTTGCCTTCTACACGTGCCCCAAATGGGAACCGAACCCTCAGCCTTAGCTGTGTGCCCTGATCAAACCTGTAACCTTTCTGGTGTACAGGATGATGCTCCCACCAATGGAGCCACCCAGCCAGGGAAGTAGTTGGAAATGTTTTGTTTCTAAATATTTTAAAGAAGATTCGATCGGTTCATCCATCCACCATTCATATAAATCCCATTAGTCAAAGAAACCCTTATCTCAATGAATGGAGGGTTTATGTTAGTCTGGCACTGATGACCGCATCGGCCCTGATTTCAGTGCCAGCAGGGACTTGACAGATCACCCTGGTTTATGACGGTGCCTCCCATTCTGGTCTAATTTTGGCCCATGGCTGGTAGCGTGAAATGTGTCCTTAATAGAACGACAAAGACCAGAACCAAGTCTCTTTATTTCCGCTCAGATGTTTTCCCCTCGAACAGAAGATTGCTTCTGCTTGGGTTTCTGTTGAGAGTAAATACGAGTTAAATCCAGAGGACAGAGACCAGTTGTTAAAGGGGTGACGGAGCTGAAAACTTCGGCAGTGCCCACCGATTGTAAAGTAAACTTGATGGCTCCCAAATGCTCTAAGACTGTTTTTATGCATTCCCCTCCGCTGTTGCAGAGATATAATGAGCCACTAAGAAAGTCCCAAATGCTTGTTTTTATCTTTTTGGACGTGAAAGTGAAATGTATTTTGTTTTTATTTTGCCCTACATAGAATCGAAAGAGAATGCCTTTGTTTCAGACCAGAAGGGATGGCAATTTCAACCCCCTGTTAGTTGTTTTCATTTCTGAATTCCAGGTGTGAAACTGGCAGCAGGTGATGAGTTCGGGGCCACATCTGCCTCCAGCGCCCAGTGTCGCTCTGGCGTGGTGGCCTCCGGGTTCCAGGGCTCGTCCAAATGGGAGTCAGCAGAAGGGCAGCAGAACCCAGGACCCAGCCCTGGAGCTCGAATGTGGCCCCTCTGACAAGTTCTCACCTCCCACCCTCACTCTGATCGTGTATTAAATGGGACGTTTTCAGAGTTCCTTTTAGTATTAAATGAGATCATGTATGTGAAGCTCTTCATACCCACTGCTCAGTAAGGGAGGCTGTTTTATGCCACCCAGCTGGGTTTCACACAGAGGTTGCAAACTATCCCACACCTAGCTATGCGTGAGGTCCAGATGACCCGTTTGGTTCCGTCTATAACGCCCGCCAGCCCGTTTCCCAGAGCCCTGGGTCCTTTGGGTTTCTAAGGTAAACTGAAATGCAATCAGCATAGCCCAACTTCTAACCTCACCTCATCAGACTCTGTCTAGTCACCTAAGCCTCCAGACAGCAGCAAGGAAAAGCTTTGAAGTTGGAGAACCAATTAGGAAGGCGAGGAGAAGAAGGCATGAAGAGGAAATAGAATACACTAGACAGAAGACATTACATAGTCTTAATAGGGAGCTATTTTTGCTTCTGAGACATGATGTCACTTATAGCAAAGACCTTGAAATAATTATCAAAAGGGAGGGAAATATAATTCCTAGTAGTTGGAAGCTATCCACCAGCCCTTAGTTCTCTATGTATAATTCATATGATCCAAAATATAAAAGCCTTGATGTCATTGATGGCATCCTAAAGATTCAGGAAGCAGTGACTTTTAAAACCTTTTCCTTTCTAGTTGCAGAAAACTCTGAGGTTTCTATTATATATTGAGGATTCACATTTTGTCTTTCAGTTGTAAGTGCAGTGTACTCAGTTCTTAGAAATTTAGGTCCCAGAAAGAAATGGGCAAATTAGAATCAAATATTGTGCCCTGGCTGGGTGGCTCAGCTGGTTGGAGCATCATCCTGTACACCAACAGGCTGTAGGTTCGATTCCAGTCAGGGCACATGGCTAGGATGCAGGTTTGATCCCCAGTTGGAGGGCATATGGGAGGCAACCAATCAATATTTCTCACATCAATGTTTTTCTCCCTCTCTCTCTCACCATTCCTCTCTAAAATCAATAAAAACATATCCTTGGGTGAGGATTAAAATACATATATTGTTCATGGTTACTGAGGTGGAGGGCAGAGGACCTTTAGGTGGAGCTGGGACAGCAGCAGGATCGGGAAGCTCAGCTCTGTGGGGGGTGGGAGCAGGGAGGTGGTAAGAAGATGATGCTTCAAAGCCTGATCTGGTCCTAAGAGCCTTGACTCTCCAGCCTGATACCCAACATGCTGTCCAGTCTGCCATTCATAGAACCTGTTCAGAGTACAGACACCAGAAGGTGGAAATCCCATAAGAGAGGACGAGGGACAAAGGGAGATTGTGGAACAGGTCTCTCAGAGGAAATATGGAAAGAGTTAGAAGCCATCACCTGGTGGGAAGCCTGGCATGACCAACTCAGGTGCCTGCCCGGACATGACTACGTGCAGAGCAGTCCTGCGCTGGCTTACAATGGAGAGCACCTGGCTTTGTTTTCCTAAAGGATGATTACAACAGGCAAGGGACAGAATGAATTAATGAACATGGAGTTTATAAAGCAGTTTCTCCTTGGAGACGGAGAAACGGAATCGTTGACTACTCACCCTTCAGAATCCGCCTCACTGAAGGTGAGGAGTAGCAACTGGCATCAACAGGAGGCATGTCCGAGTGATGGGGAAGCCTGGTGTCCCCAGAGCAGCATTGACTCAGACTACCTACTGTTTTTTGAAAGAGAAAGGAAAGGAGTGACAGGAGGGCCACCGCCCCAGCCCCAGTGGCAATGACCTGTCCAAGCACAGGGGCAGATTCTGGCATGAGAGGCCAGTCCAAGCTGGGTGCCACACAGGTTTCTCGTTCGGAAGGTATTTATTGCTGGCGGGGGTGGGTGGGCACAGAATATAAGCACAGAGAATCTGAAAACTTGCAGGCAGGAAGGAAGTGAAAGTAAAGGCTGGAGCCACTGAGGGCTGGTCGTCAACTGCGGCAGCAGCCAAGCACTCAGCTTACGGAGCCAATGGGAAGCAAGGAGCTCCCTCCCGCCACACGCTCAGCCCCAGACGTTTTGGTGGTGCAGGTGTGTGCTTACCGGCGAGTCTGCGAGATGAGCACGTGGCCGCTCCTGCTGGGGGCTCCAGCTCTTCCCATCAACCCTGTGCCCCACCAGCAGGACAGCACCCTGAGGAAACCCTTCCTGCCGGCTCAGGCACCAGGTCTCAGGGACCTCCACTCTCAGTTCCTTGCCCTCCCCATTCCCTCGGGCAGCTGCGGTCCAAATTGGAGGGGACTTGTGAAGTGCTCAGGGTTTTACAGATGAACGTTTTTCCCTAGTCTAGGGTGGGACAAAAACCACATGGTTCCAGAAGCTTCCATTTCTTTCCTTGACTGGCACTTTTACAAGTTTGTGGTTTATCTGCTTTCCTCGCCGGTAAGCACACACCTGCACCACCAAAACGTCTGGGGCTGAGCATGTGGCGGGAGGGGGCTCCTTGCTTCCCATTGGCTCCGTAAGCTGAGTGCTTGGCTGCTGCCGCAGTTTATGACCAGCCTGCAGTGGCTCCAGCCTTTACTTTCACTTCCTTCCTGCCTGCAAGTTTTCTGGCTGTTTGAGGCTGTTGTATTTTTGTTGTTT